AAAACTCATAAAGACTCCAGAAAAAAACTTCTGGATCTAATAAATGAATTCAGTAAAGTAGCAGGAAACAAAATTAATATTCAGAAATCTGTGGTATTTTTATGCATCCATAATGAAATACCAGAAAGAGAAATTAAGAAAAACAATCCCATTTACTATTGCAACAACAACAACAACAACAACAAAATAAGGTACCTAGGAATATTTAACCAAGAAGGTAAAAGACCTGTACTTGGAAAATTATATGATACTGAAGAAAAAAAAACTGAGAAAAACACAAATAAGTGGAAGTATATACCGTGTTCATGGACTGGAAGAATGAACATAATTAAAATGTCCATGCTATCCAAAGCAATCTATAGATTCAACACTATTGTATTAAAATACCAATAATATATTTCACAGATATAGAGCAAATATTCAGAAAATTTATATGAAACCAAAAGAGATCCTGAATAGCCACAGCAATCTTGAGAAAGAAAACAAAGTTGGAAGCATCACACTATCTGATATGAAACTATAATACAAGGCCATTGTAATCAAAACAGTCTGGTACTGGCATAAGTACAGGCAGCTAGATCAATGGAATAGAACAAAGAGCCCAGAAATAAACCCACACCTTTATGGTCAATTAATATTTGACAAAGGAGGCAAGAGCATACAATGGGGTAAAGACAATCTCTTCAATAAATGGTGTTAGGAAAATTGGACAGGCATGTTAAAAAATGAAACTAGACCACCAACTCTTGCCATACACAAGAATAAACTCAAAATGGATGAAATACTTAAATATAAGTCGCAAAACCATTAAAATCTTAGAAAATATAGGCAGTAAAATCTCAGACATAATAATTATTTACTAATTATTACTCAAAATTATTTACTCAAAAAAAATTATTTTTTTTCAACACATTGTTTTCAAACTTCCATGGTTGCTGTTGAGAAATAAATTTTCAATCTCCACTGCTCCCGTGAAGGTAATATGTCTTTTATTTCTGGAATATATTAAGAGCTCAGATGTGGATTTCTTTTTATTTATTCTGCTTTGATTCTTTTATCTGTGGATTTGTATCTTACATTAATTCTGGAAAATTCTCAGCCATTAGATACTCAGATATCGAATATGCCTCATTTTTTCTCTCCTCTTCTGAGACCAACAGTAAATGTTCATTAGACCTTTCTCACTCTATCCTCCCCAACCTGTCAACTATCTTAAATATTTTCAATCTTTGTCCAATCTACTTTTAAACCCAACCAGCAAAAATATTGACATTTTTTCTCTTCTAGAAATTCCATTAAGTTCTTTATAAAACCATATAGGTTTTTAAAAATACTTTACTCGCTGAAATTTTTATCAAAATTGACTTAGTAGTTGCCAAGTAGATGGGGTGAGGGCGGATGTATCTGGGGCCAAGCTTTTGACAAGTGCTGGCAGCAGAGGGTGGTGGCTGGCATGTCTGGGGATTAGCTTTTGAATGCCTGAGCTGGAAGTTTGGTTATAAAAAGGAAGGACTGAACATCTAGATCAATGAGAATAATAAGAATGGAAATAATCAAAATAATTTATTGTCAGAAAAGCAATTTGCAAATATGAAAAAGGAGAAGGCTAGAATAACTTCTGTAGTGTTATACTATACTCTGAGGTATTAAAAAGAACTCAGTGATTTTTAATATATACCAAAATCCAAGATACAGAAATAGGGGGTTGTGTGTGTGTTTGTGTGAATGTATACATCTATTTCCCAGCTTGTTTCACAGAGCTCATCATTCATCTTTAGCTTTCTCATCTTTTCCCTGGGATTTGATACTGTGTTGCAGTAGAGGCAACCTGAGGCTGCCCAATTAAAACTACAGTGTTTGGGAAATGGGCAGGTAATCCAGTGGAGCAAATAAGCAGATCTCTCCAGCAAACCCAAAATGGACATGTAGTATAAGTAAGAAATAAACCAAGTTACTTGTATTTTATGGGTTATTACCACAGCATAACTCAGCTGTAATAAAGAGTTGGGCTCCATTTTTGATGTTTGGTTGTTGACAGTTTTCAATTCCTGCAACTCTCCCTTTCTTTTCTGTCCCACACCCAGGCAAGCTGGTAAGAAAGTCCACTTGCTTCTTCCTTTGCGCTGATGGGAAATTCAAACTATTTAAGATCTGGCTTGAGTGTGAAAACCCATCCTAGCCCCATCCCATAACCACATGAGACCCTAAGTCAACTGCTGTTCCTTGCTCTACCCAGAAAATCTTACTGTGTGAGTGATAAACCTTTTCAGATCAGATCCTCCTGGTGTATATGCGGCATCTTCAGTCTCTGCATTCAAACTAGTTTTGGGTAGGGTAGGCTATCCCACTGCTTGAGGGTGACTACAGTGTTAGCCTATGTGACAGATACAGAAATCAGTGCTTAAAGATTTGTAATAAGAAACTGGAAAAGGCACCAGCTTAGGGACTGGACATGAGGCCACATGGAAACTTTCATAGAAGGGCTAAAAACAAGGCTAGCATTGTTTTAGACCAAGAATATAGGGGACAGGAAATGTCTGATCTCCAACTCCTGGTATCTTGGCTCTTTTGTCTCATTGCATTGAAAAAATTAAAACAAAAGTTTAGCTCAGAAAGAGATATAGCTAACTTTGACAAGTACTAAATGTAACACACTGTTGTGTGAAATGAACAGTATAGTTATACATGCTGCAAATTGTATAATCCTATTTTTAAAGACATATTTCTGTACTTATTTGTACAAAAAAACTAGATATATACACACTCTAAGTGTTAATGTCAGTGTTAAGTTAAGGAGGCCATTAGAATGAGATGGTTCTAATAGCTCAGCAGTCTATGCAAACAAACCAAAACCTAAGCCTGTAAATGCCTAAGGTTAAGAAATTGAAACTTAAGGACAACCAATCATAAAGAGCCAACTCAGGCTTCCTAAATAATACAACTGCTTAAGTTACAGTCAATCAGATAAATTCCTTGCTTACTTCTGTTCCTTCTCTATAAAAGTCTTTTGCCTGGCTCCTGTCAGCAGAGTGCTCCGAACCACTTCTGGTTTGGGGCTGCCCAATGTCAATCAATTTTTGCTCCAGTTAACTCTTAAAATTTTTTTTTTATTTTTTAAAATCCTCATCCAAGGATTTGTTTATTGATTTAGAGAGAGAGAAGGGATGGGGGAGAGAGAAAAAAATATTGATGTGAGAGAGAAGCATCAATTGGTTGCCTCCTGTATGCACTCCCACCGGGGATTGAACCTATAACCTAGAATGTACCCTGACTGGGAATCAAACGAGCAACCTTTTGGTGCATGGGATGATGTGCCAACCAACTGAGCCACCCAGCCAGGACTTAAATTTTTAATATGCCTCAGTTTATCTTTTAACACTAGGAAGTCTCTGAAACTGAGATGCCTTATATTTATTTTCTTCTTGGTACTTTCTAATTTTTCTAAAATGAATGTACAGTTATAAAATAGAAGTTTAAAAAACACTCTATGTCATGAATGGAAGTTGTGTATGAGTAGAGCTTTATTTTCCCATTGAGGGAAACTTTTATCCTCTAGTAAAAATGTGAGAACTTTACTCACAGCAATATTTTATAACAGAATTGTCAATTTTCTTAAAAAAAATTGCTAGATGTATCAACAAGCTAATGATCTTTGAGCAGTCATTTTAAAGACAGAGCTTTTTATAGCATTTTAATCATGTACCAAAATATAATTTTGAATATTATGAACCCTAATGCCTAAAAATGACAGAAGTCTTTGTAAGTATGAAAAAACATATGATGTATTAATTAGAGAAAAGCAGCAGAAAACTAAAAATAGACTTTTAAAAATATCAAGTTTAAGTTCTCTGTCCAAAATGAGTTAATACATGAAATCAAATCACTTAATGAGAAAAATGATCTAGAAAATTGGTTAATGATAAATGTATGCTTTTGATGTTCACGAATATTAAAATGCATTCCTTGTACTACAGCTTGACTGTGGTAGTGGTTACATAACTATATACATTTACCAAAACTTAATTAACTGTATACATGTAAATTATACCTCCATAAAGCTGATTTTTAAAAATTACATTTATTTTTTTGCTAAAATTTTTGGCAGCTTATTTTCAGACTATTTTATTCAATGGCTTAATCATTCAAAACAATCTATTACATTACATGAACGTGATAAAGGAAAAAAAACACCTGTGTATAGTTAAAAGTGGAATCTCTTCCTTCTAAATTCTGTATCACTAATACCCAGTAATACTGATTAGAACACTCAGCTAATCTTTCCTTCCCTTACCTCCAGCTTTCAATAAGCTGTCAGGTCCTGTCAATTCTTTCCTTCATCCCTACTATACTGCCTTAATTCATTTCTGTCTGGATTACTGCAACAAATTTCTAAATTGATTTCCCTGTCTTTAATCTCCCAATCCAACTTCCATAAAGTAGAAAAAGTAATCTTGCCCTCAAAATGTACTAACAAAGCAAAAATGATGCCAAAAGAAGCATGTTTTTAAAAAGATTAAATTGCTTCAGACTAAAGTCTAAAATCCATGGCACTAAAGGCACTTGAAAATTAGGCCTCTTGATCAAAATAATTCCCCCTCGTAAGAGGTCTGTATTTTATATCTTTGCCTATAGAGCCATCTCTCCTTTTCTGTCTGTGAATATATCTACTACTCCTTAAAAATCCAGGTTAACTATAATGTCTTCTAGTCACACAATCCTAGGAAGAGGTAGGTGGTTCAGGTGTGTTACCCTCAGCACTCTGAACATATTGTTACTTGTTAATGCCATTGTTTCTTCCTTTAGATGTGAATTCCTCTAGGACAGGGTATGAACCTTCTTCACTAAGTGCAGTGTCTGGCTGATAGTAAAAATTCAAAATTGAATATAAAGACATAAAGAAATAAAACAGTATTATTCACTAAATCCATTTTTTGGCAAATGAAAATTAACATTTTTCTTAGATAAAAGGCTTAAAAGATTTGATAGTATAGAAGTAGTACCTTGTCTACATGGAAAATTAAATCCAGTTCACAGACATTTTCAAAACACTTGTCTAATGTTTCCACAAATACCTAAAAAAAAGAAAAAAGATTAAAAGCTTTTGAGAACTGAGTAAGTCCATTCAAATCTATTATCTACAAGGCAGACAATTCTTAATTGTGAACTAAAACTTTTGTAAATCTCTCATCACATATCTCTTTTTAAAATTAACTGTATTAAGTGCAAAAGGAGTAATTATAAACTATTTTTCATGTAAACTACTTTTCAATACATTAATATATAAAACATATTTTGCTGAAAATCACTAAGAACTAGAAATTCTTAGCATCATTACTTAAAAAAGCACTAAAAAATACTGAAATCAAACTCCCTATCTTCATGTGAGGAAAAAAGAAAGCTTATTAGAAATATTTATCGGGATGGATGGGCATAGTCCAAGTCTCTATCATATCTAATGTAGCCAGTAATTTCTAATTAGCAAATCAGTATAAAACATGACTAAAAATTACTTATGGAAAGAACACAGACTTTGGAGCCAGACTTACTGGGTTCCAGCCCTGGCTTGAATACCTTGTATGACCTTGTATGGGAAAGGATTAACTCAGCAGACCTTGGTTGCTCAAATCCTACACATTCCCCGAAAAGGCCTGTTTTCAGTCTAGACTTGGGCTAGCTCCTGGAAACTGAGCCCTTAAAAAGTTCTGTCTGAAAAAAGTGTTTATATGCCTGAAACCTTGGGCCACACTGTACCAGTATGAGTAAACACTTTATGCTATCAAGGTGATGTATTGCAAAAACTCTTTTTCTCTGAGGTTCTGGAATTTAAGTAGCAAGGGAGACACACAAAGGCTACATACCTTTGTGATTGACATCCAATGAAAACCCTAGACACCCAGGCTAGGATGACCCCTGGTTGGGAACACTTTTCACATGTCATCATATATCATTTCTGGGGGGATTAAGCACATCTTGTGTGACTCCAGGGGAGGGGACATCTGGACACTTGCATATGATTTCCTCCAGACTTCCCCTCATGTGCACTGACGATATTACTCTGTATCCTTTCACAGTAAACCCTGGTCATGAGCATTGCAACTTTTGAGTCCTGTGAATGCTAGCAAATCATTCAGATGGTCTTGGAGACCTCTGACACAAACAATCAAAAATTAACCTCTAAAATTCTACCTTGCATAGTTGGAAATCTATTCTGTTCATATTTCTATTCCCACTACCCTTTTAGCTTTCACAGAGTAATCATTCTATCATCCAAACTTGGGGGGAGGGTGTATTAAGAGTAAAAGAGAGCAGCTGTTAATTATTATTATAATATTAGATGCAATGTTATAATAACATAATAGCCTGGAACAATGGATGTAAACCAGGACAGTTCCAAGCAAACTGAAATGTACAGTCATCCTATTCATAAGTGATCCAATGGGACAAACAATAAATTCTAAAAGCAGGTTTCCTGCTGTAACTGCTCTGACCTCAGGTCAATTTACACAGATCTACAATCCAAGGTTCCTTTCTGGCATCAATGAAGGTAAGTAAGACAGGTGAAACTATGTAAATATGTAACCAGATGGCTATAATCAACATTGTCTTAAACCAAGGATAAATAAACTTCTCTGCAAAGAGCCGGAAAGTAAATATTTTAGGCTTTTTTGGGGGCATACAGTGTAGCAAAAAGCAGCCATAGATAATACCTAAACAAATAAGCATGACTCTGTTCCAATAAAACTTTATTTACAAAACCAGGTGGCAGGATGGATTTGATATGCAGGCTGTATTTGTTGACCTCTGATTCAGACCAGAGTCACCAAGAGAAATAAGAGGTCTGCAGTAATCAAGAATATATGCTTTACTCATAATTTCATTTATGAAAAGAAGACAGGTATTAAGATGACCAAATGTGGAACATACACAGGTCATGCTCAATTAAGTTTCTAGTTTATTTCCATTTTTTACAGTAGGTAGAAAATAAGTATCATTGAGTATTTAGTCAAACTCCCAACTTTATTAATTTTTCCTCAAAGATTTGGTAACATGGACCCTGAAATGACTTTATTCATTCTATTTTCAACTAATTCAGATTCATTTTCCTTCTTGTTATAACAGATTCTTGTTATAAGGACTAAATGAGATAATGCTGCTTGAACACAGAATAAAGCACTTCACACATGTTAACTTCTTAGGTAAAGTAAGAATGGGAGTGAAAAAGAGAAAACTTCTCCCATTGAGAAAGAGGAAAATATTTACTGTGGAAACAGTGTCTTTAACTTGGAAATGGTCTGAATACCGATTTGTAAAATCATAGTTAAATAAGTTATGGGGAATAAAGCCATTTAACAGTAAGATTTCACTGGAGTTATGACATACAAACAGAAAAACCCACAAATTGTAATAATGTACAACCTGATGAATTTTCACAAAGTAAACATATTTGTGTAACCAACACCAAAATCAAGTGTTATAATATTACCAGCACTGCAGAAACCCCCTTATATTCCATCAGTTGTTACCACCATCAAAGGCACCATTACCCTGCTTTCTAACACTATAGATAATGTTCTGCCTGTTTCTGAATTATATTTAAACTGGATTATACAGTATGTAATCTTCTGTGATTGGATTCTTTATCATTATTTTAATACAATAGCTCATTCATCCTTGTTGTGCAGTATACTATTGCACTGATATACCACAATGTACTTATCTATTCCATGATTGTCAGAAATTTGGGTTTCCAGAATTGGGTTATTAGAATCAGTACTGCTAAGAACATCCTTTTATGTGTCTTTTAGTAAATTTATGTATACGTATCTACTCAATGTATACCTACAGAATTGCTGGGTCACAGAGTAGCATACCTTCGGCTTCGTAGACAGTGCCATATAGATTTTCAAAGCAATTATAAAAATTTACACCCCAAATAGCAATATATGATAGTTCCCACAGTTCCATACCCTTTCTAACACTTTATGTTGTCAATCTTTTAATTTTAGCCATTCTTACGGGTGTGTGGTGGTATGCCATTGTGATATTAATTTGTACTTCCCTGATGGCTAATGAGACTGAGCACGATTTCCTATTTATTGGCCATTTAGATATCCTTTTTTTAGATGTCTATTCAAGACTTCTACTCATTTTTTCTACTTTCTTTTAATACTCACCTGAGGATACATCCATTAATTAGAGAGAGAGAGTAGGGTTGGGGGAGAAAGAAATGTGAATGTGACAAAGAAACATCAACTGGCTGCCTCCCTAACTGGGATTGATTCCGCAGCCTTTTGGTGTCCTGGATGATGCTCCAACCAGTACACCCAGCTGAGTGACCCAGCCAAGGCTACAATTAATCTTTGTTATGTCCAATTTAAGCAATCTTTGTCTATAGCAAAGTCAAAAAGATGATACTCTACAGAAGAAAACAAAAGCTTTAAGTTTTATTTTTCATGTTTGGACTGATCTATCTGGAATCTTTTGTGTATGGTGTGAAGCAGTCCTCCTAAATTTAAAATCACTATTAAGAGTTATTAATCAGAATAAAGTTTCCAGTGTATCTTTTATTTTTTCATGCTCGGTTTTTTCACTTTTGAGTGATTTTACTACCCATGTTAGCATAAATAGTTGGTTAGTTAAGGAAGGGAGCAAATGTAATTGGACATTAAGCCTGATTCACTAGGCAGATGAACTGGATATTAACCTTGGTTCACTAGAAAGCCACAGCATTCACAGGGTCCCCCAGGGACAGTCACATCCTCTAACATGCAACTTAACCCCTGAAGCATATAGGAAGACCAGGCTACCAGTCATTAGCCGGGATTACTGAGGAAGGAATAAAAATAACGGAATAAATTTTTTAGCTAGACGCATTGTGTTGTAGAAGCTAAGATGACACAGGGGGAGGTAAGTGCATGCTCAATAGGCACCAGATGATGCAACAAAACTTTGAGGCATGTGCAGTAGGAGTCCAAATAGCGACATAAAGGGGTGGAGTCTAGCCTGAGAAACCTGGGAAAAAGACCAGTTGGGTTAGCGGGAGGGCCTGGCACAAGCCCTCTGAAGAATTAGGAAAGAAACTGGTTAATATGGGGCTCTCCCAAGCCCCAGGTAATATAATCAAAGCTTAACAAAGGCCTGGCTTGGTAGTGTGAACATGCGTTCACTCATTTGTTTGAGAGTTGCCGCTGCAGCAGCTGTGCAAGTCCAAGCTCAGCACTGGTTATAGCCGAAGCACAGCCCAGGCAGTGATGCAGATGGGGAAAGGAGACCCAGAAGTTCTGCATCTGTGGGGTCTGGCCTTTCTTGGCTTGCTGAAGTGCTCTGGTCTTTCTTGTCTTGCTGATGGTAAGTGCAGGCCTGAGGTTCCAGAAACTGGACTTGTCTCACAGTGGGACGGAGCTGAACCATGTGGCGGTGGATGAGACACCAGACAACTAAAAACAGTCTTTTATTTTTGTTCCAATAAATCTTACAGCTATACCTGATCTTCCTATGCATGGGTCTCTCAAATGCTTTTCTCCTGACTTGTGGAAGAACCCTATTTCCACTGGCAACACATATATTGTAAGCATCCTTTCTTAACATGACTATCATGGTGAAAATGCTGTCTAAATAGTTTCCCTTCATTTACTTTTATCTTAAAGATTTAGTTAAATGATTTAGATAAAGTGCTCAGCATAGGAACAGATGCCTATAACGCATCTAATAAATGGAAGCCAGTATTACTTATTTGGATGTTCAAAACATGTAGTTATAAATTGAAAATAAAAATAGAGAATTCTAATTCTGCTGATAAATACTAATATAAGAGCAAGATAACTACATGTTGAGGCTGTCAAGGCTTTGTGATTTGCTTGTTAATTTAGAATGAAAAAAATGTTGTCAATATCTAAATAATACCACCTATGAAAAATGTGAACACTTAAAAAAAAAGTACCCTGTAGCAAAATATCATAATTAATGAGGTACATATTATTAATTTAGGAAAAGAATTCCAAAGATTTAATGCATTCAAGTGTTAAATTTGTTTTATTTTAAAAAAGACCCTCTTCAAAAATATTTCCATTAC